CTTCTGTTGAATTATCCGAATATGCGCTAGCTGACAAGTCTCAAGAGATGAAGGGACAGAGATTGGTTTCCTTTATGCAAAGCACTTGGACATTTCTAGAGCTACCCACTTGAATCTTCTTTAATTATAAAGGATTTTTTTTTTTTTTTTAAGAAATTGTGATTTAAATTAGCTAGTTTCAGCTTCTCATCCAATCCAGCTCCACATAGGAGACAAAAGCACTGAAGTATATTCATTACAATTACTTGCCTATTGCTGTAAGGTGAATATCAATCTTTGACATACTGTTATATAAGGCTCTACAATAGAATCTGTATGCAATCTGTAAATACGCATACCTATACACATAAATTACATATTATATACTCAAGTATTCTCTCTGAAACACGCAGGCAGTTTGAGAAAATATTTGCTCTAGGAATACATACGCAACAGTGATAAAAGCTGAAAGGAATACATGAATGCGTTGATTTAAGGATTTCTTACAGCCCACTAGGTTCTCTCTTCAACTGCAGCCTGCTGCCTTCATCTTTCACACCTTAAGCACAAGATTGATCTTTCTTTCTCAAGCCAGCAGTATAATTTTCAAAAAAAAAAAAAAAAAACCCCAAAAATTTACTATTCACTTAGCCCTAGTGGCAATACGCTAGAATGCACACTGTGTTGATTTGTTTAGCCTGCACAAACTTCTTTTCCAGCATCCCCATGTGGATTTAGTGCTGACTTTTCACAAATTTCACTCCAGGTGAGCTTGACCATTTTCCTGCAGTTTAAGGTGTGAAACTGCAGATATGTTCACTCTTCATTACAGAGCTAACTGCTGTGGTTGTGGTTTAACTCCAGCAGGCAGCTCGACAGCACGCAGCTGCTCAATGAGTCCCTGCAGCAAGATGGAGGAGAGAATCAGAAAAGTAAAAAGTGCAAGAACTCATGGGCTGAGATAAAGACAGTATAATAAGTAATAAATAAATGCACAAGTAAACTACAAAAAACACAACTGCTCTCCACCAGTGGTCCAGTGCCCAGCCAGTCCCCAAGCATCAGTAACCCCACATTTTATCGTGGAGCATGACACTATACGAATGGGACATCCCTTTGGTCACTTTGGATCGGCTGTCCTGGCTGTGGTCCCTTTCAGCTCCTTGTGTACCCTCAGCTTCCTCACTGACACAGAAGCTGAGAAGGGCTTGATGCTGTGAGCACTCCTCTGTAGCAGCTACGCCATGGATGTATTACCATTGCTGCTTTCATCACTAACTCAAACCACAGTGCCACTAAAGCGACTAGAAAGAAAATTAACTCTGCAGCAGCCAAACAGTTGTACATCAGAGCAACACTGAACTGATTAAATTCACTGTAAGAGATTACTGTGCTCTTCAGTAAAACTACATGTCTAGGTGGAAAACTAGTTACATTGCCATGGTGCCTTTCTGCATAGAATCATAGAATCACTAAGGTTGGAAAAGACCTCAAAGATCATCAAGTCCAACTATGACCTAACCACCCTACCCTAACTAACAACCTTCCACTGAATCATGTTCCTGAGCACCACATCCAAACGTATTTTAAACACACCCAGGGATGGTGGCTCAACCATCTCCCTGGGAAGCCTATTTCAGTCCTTAACAACCCTTTCTGTAAACAAATGTTTCCTGTTATCCAACCTAAGTTCACTCTAGTGCAACTTGAGGCCATTTCCCCTTGTGAGAAGAGACCAACCCCTCTCTGCTGTAAGCACCTTTCAGGTATTAGAATAGAGCAATAAGGTCTCCCCTCAGCCTCCTTTTCCCCAGACTAAACAGCCTCAGTTCCTACAGTCTCTCCTCATAGGGCACATTCTCCAAGCCCTTCACAAGCCTTGTTGCCCTTCTTTGGACCTGCTCCGGCATCTCAATGTTCTTTCTGTACTGAGGAGTCAAAAACTGAACACAGTACTCAAGTGAGGGCTCGCCAATGCTGAGTACAGGGGCACGATGACTTCCCTATCCTGCTCTCCACACCATTCCTGATACAAGCCAGGATGCCATTGGTCTTCCTGGCTACACTGTTGGCTCATATTCAGACGACTGTCCATCAGTACACCAACATCCCTTTCCCTCAGGCAGCTTTCCAGCTACTCCTCCCCAAGCCTGTGGAGTTGCCTGGGGTTATTGTGTGCAAAATGTAGGACCCAACACTTGGCCCTACTGAAACTCACACATTTTATCTTGGCCCATCAATTCAGTCTATCCAGGTCCCTCTGTAGTGCCCTTCTCCCCTCAGGCAGATCAACACTCCCTCACAACTTGGTGTTTTTGCAAACAGTTGCAAACTTACTGAGGGTGCACTCAGTCCCCTCATAAATACATAAATACATAAATACATAAATACATACATGCATACAGCAGAAAGCAACAGAAAACTGTCTTCAAAAAATTAAGCTATTTTCTAAAAAAAAAAATAATAATAAATAAATAAAAATCCACAAAAAAAAAAACACCACTGATTTCTGACACCTGAAAATTTTAACAACAAATGCCATGAAGTCTTTCGTCTTCAATGCTTCAGTCATCAACTAAATGTCAACTAAATGTGTTGGCTCTCAGAAAAGTGCTTGGAAATGTTCCCCTGCTTTGAGAGAGCCATTTGGCTTAAGGGACTATTGCAGACAATAGGATTTCTTCCTGGTGTTTGAAGTAGCAGCTGCCAGATATTGGCAAATATCTTACTGTTGTTGTTGCTTTAAAGAAATTTTCTCATTTGGGGAAAAGACCACTCTTAGCTGCTGCACATAATCTTTTAGCTAATGGTAATCATTCAACTTCTTAAAAAAAAATATATATATATATATATGACATAACATTAATTACAACTTCTTGGTTCACTGGCATAATCAAACAAGAAAATCTTCCCAGATTATCAAACCTATACTTTCTTTTTTTTTTTTGGGGGGGGGGGGGGAGAGAGGGGGGAGGAAAAATAGAATGAGGCAGGAAAGACCAACAGACTGATGGGAAGATAAAGAAACAATATCATTTCAACCTGCTCACCATCTGTACAGATGAAGGAGTCAGAAAGCCACAATCAGTTTCAAAACAGACATGTTATAAAACTGCAACCAGCTCTCTCTTTGCCAAGTCCAATGTTTGAGTCCAGCAGAGGACTTGACAAAGGGCATTGAAGGTCTGCAGTGGTGACTTTTACCTACAAGCATTAATTTTGCCTTTTGGACTACTATCCTCAAAGAAGACAGACATCACAGTGAAATCATCGATTGACATATGGAATATATGGGTTTCGGTATACTCTGTAAGAAGAGTAATCACAGGATATATTTCCAGCTTTGCACTGAGCATCGTTTTCTTTCCTTCAAGCCCAGAGCAATACAGTTTCTGGAAATACAAAGTGTAAATCACTTGCTGACTGCTTGTACAGCTGTTCATCTGTGTAGATTATGAAAAACTGAAGATCCGTCCAGAATGAAGTATATGTGTATATTGCACTGGTTCCTAGGGACTTACACATCTCACATCATGAATGACATTTCTTTTAAAAAAATAATGATATTTTAAGCAGTCACGCCTATCCAGAAGAAATTATTCAGAATGAATATTCAAAAATCAACATAAATAGGACACTACTGCTTTTTACAGTTCTGTCTATTGACTCCCCACAAAGAAGCATTTTCATACTAAGTCTCTCTCCTGCATCTTCATACAGCACCTTTTGTTTGTACCAGTTTTAGGATTAACAAATGTGATTGTTCTGAGGGACCTACAGTAACATAGGATAAGCATAGGGACATCTAGCTCATAGGAGAATGAAATAAAATTAAAGAACCATAAGAGAGGACTTCTAAGACTAACTCCCATAGATTTTTTTTTCTTTTCTTAATTATTACATTCTTCATACAGTAAGAACAGAAGGAGAAATGAATGACCCAGCCTTTCAGCATAGTGGAAAGGAGGCAAGGACATCTATATTAGAAATCCTCTTTAACCACATTGAAATTGCCCATTTTTTTTCCCACTAGCAAGTGGAAAAGCAGCATTTCCACTCTTTGAGCTCAGAACCTGTTATAAGGAACAAGAAGTGATCCAAGAAGAAAAATATTCCCCTTAAATAAGGTATTGGTAAGAGAGCACCACACTCAGTCCACTCTTCCACCATGTTTTTCCTCAAGAAACTCAATTTCCTTCTAATACTATCACTGTCATTTTCATTGTCTCTGTAGTGGTATAGCAATAGCCTTGTTTCAAAAAGCACTTATGTGTCAGGGTACCCTAAAGCCATACAAACCCAATTACAGGAAGAAATAATTTCACTACCCCATGCATCCCATGTCAAGCAAAATAAAGGAGGGTTCATTCTTTGTGTTACTCAAAGACACAGCTGTTCACCTCTTTTGGAAGATTCCTTTCTGTAAAGATTTGCTCACTGCTAATTGAGCAACTACTTCCTTTATTTAAATCAAGATTGTTTGGTTCTTATTTGAAGCCTCACAGTGTATTTCAACATTTAGTTCCCACATAGTACGTACAGACATAGCCTCTGATACTGTCTTGTGATCTGGAGTCTGAAACTTGTTATAAAATACTTGCCATTTTTTATAGTATTTGAAAGTGATAATGATTTAGCTGACAACTACTGAAAGCACAAAGGGAACTATCCAAAGCACTAGCTTCCAGGAGTCAGAAGCTTCCCTGGTTCCCAGCCTTGTTAGGGCTTGGGAATTACTTACAGTAACAGATACAGATGCTGCCTCCATGTACCATCCCACCCAGCCCAGAGGCTGATAGCATTTCTTGGATACACATGTAGAAGCAAGCACACACAAAACCACAAAGTCCAGCATCACCAGCCTTTACGCACGCTTCTCTAGGCACCAGCATTACTTATACAGGAGAGAACACAGACAATCCCTACACAGCAGCATTTGCCCCTTTCAGCACAAGCAGAATAGATGAATATCTGAAAAAAATAAATAAATAAATAAATAAAATAAAAAAAGGGCAAGATTAGGTTTAGGTAAGAAGGTAAGACAGACTCATATACCTAAATGAAAAAGCAACCTATTGCTCCTCTCAGTCAAGCATATGTAAGGCCTCCACATAACTTCTTACAGAGTAGAATTGACTTATTCCTAGTTTTGACACAAAATAAACACAAACATTCTTTTTTCTCTCCATTAATTTCAGCATGTGTAAACTCAGTTCCTGAGCTGCTATGAAGGTAGTAAGAAGAAATACAACAGAAGACATTTATTTTGTGGCCATCTTCTCTATTTAGTTTGTACCCTCATGCCACTTCAGGGAACACTATTTATTTTTTCTGAAAGTTAGTGTTAGAGCTTTGAGAAATACCAAAGAATTAGCTGCACCTTTGTAAGTGGAAGAATGTGCTTTTTAATTGCACTTCAAAAATCTCACCCCGTATGACTTATTCCAAAGTTCAGGTCACAACTTTACAACATTCTCTTACATTCCCAAGAAAACGATGCCTCTACCTTACAATCACCCACTTGCGACAGTTTCAGTACATACTGAGATTCCCCTCACACTTCCTGCTGGGATTTCCAGCAATGAAGTTTTTCAAATGTTGAACAGGAACTGAGGGTGAAGACTGATCTAGCATTGCAACATTAAATAAGAAAAAACAATGACCAACTGGTTTGATTTATATGCAAATATACATCACAAAAGTTTCTTTCAGTGCAGCCACAGCACAAGAGAGATTCAAGGAAAGCAATGCTGCCACTGCCTGTTGACCTATGAGAAGACAGATGATTCCAGAAATCGTAAATCATAGAAAGGCTGATGGCTCATGAGGATGCCATTGCTTGCTCCAGCCAACAGCTCTAGGACACTGAGCACAACACAGCAAGAAAACAAAAACTTCATTCCATAATGCAACTGGTCTTGCAGTTTCCTCAGGCAGCCCTCCTGGAATAGCTGATCCAGCTGGTTTAAGTCACCCCCACAGTCAACATATTTTTTACAACAGCTTCTAGGAATATGAGATTTTTTGGATGGAAAATGCCAAGAAGCAGCTGATGCCTTTAGCCAGTCTGTATAGTTTTGAAGCCCACAGCACTGGAGCTTTTTCTGGAGCATATCCACAGTCCCGCTTCCACGAGCCAGGGAATTTGTGCCATTGTATTGATTGAAGGCTTGTCCCATTGTGTTCTTCAGCTCAACTGCCATCCAAATAGAGTAGAACTGTGTCAAAACCGCTAAAGACACCTGGAGACAAAGAAGAACTAGCAGCAGGTGCATTAGAGTCCCTTGGTGATAACGGGAGTTCCTTACAGAAACAGAAATAGCCAAAATACCAGTAGGTAGCAGGACTAACGCAGCTACAACAGCCAGCCAGCCAGGGAGAGGAAAGAAAGACTCATGAAAAAAATGATGATAGTTCTTGCACAACAGGATCACAAAGCATCCACCAAAGGTCAGAACTGTTGCACTTGCCCAGAAAATGACACCAAGGAACAACAGTAGAACACGAGCAAAATTTCTGAATAAAGAGTCCTCAGAGATCCACAGAGACATGCGTGCATTCCTTACTCTCCACATCTTGCTCAGACCTAGCAGCTTACCCCTCACCACCACCATTTGAAAGGCCTCCACCTCACTTCAGCAGGTGCCTCAGATGACATCTCCACCCAAAAACAGCTTGCAAGAGAGCAGGCCTGATAGGCTTCCTTGGTGCAAAGATTAAGTCCTGAAGCAGCTATCTGTGTGTTATTACTTGTTCAGCATAGTCAGTAGATACAAGGTGGGACTGACTGCCTAGCTTGCTGTTGAGAGGACATGTACTCTGCTATTTTTGGGTGTAATTTCACTGAAGGGGAAGAGTGGTTGAAAAAGAGCTGAACTTTTTGTTTTATTGCATTTATGTGTTAAACATCTGAAAATAGGTAAACAATCAAGGATGTGGCCAACAGTGCTGGGTCAGATCACTTAGACTACCCAAGTGATAGAGCAGATTCAACTGTAAATCCTTACAGCAGTAGCCAAAATGGCAACAAATGCACAAGTCAGAGTCATTAAGGAAATAATTATTTAAGCAGAGCTATTCAATCAAGGATCTCTGTAGGTAACATGTACCCAGACTCATTATCCTTCCCAGTACGTTTACCACTCATTAGATTTGATGAGGGGCATAATGATGTTAATAATATTTTGCCCTTTTTTACTCAGCAAGATTTCTGCACAGATAGCATCAATTACTCAAGACACCTGGATGTGAAATCCCTACTTCTGCATTTGCATGCTCTCGGTTTGCGTCACCAGTGATTGAACTGAGTGCTGTAATGACTGAATACAATCAACAGTAAGAACTGTATTAACTTTTCCTTATGTGCAAAGAAACTGAATTACACACAGGCTAAATGACTTCACAACAATCACAGAGGGAATCAACGTCACTTAGCCAGCAGAAGAGTATTATTTCTCAAAAGTTATACAGAAGAGAGAAGTAGGATGAGCCAGTATAAAGCTTGCCACAGGTGCCAGGAATGTATATCTAAGGCCAAAAAATGTCTCCCTAATTTTCCTGAGGAAAAAAAAAAAAAAAAAAAGATGGTATTTCCGTTTTCTTTCTCAAGATGCAGAACAGGGCTTGCACAACAGGCTTGCATAAGGGAGAATGCAGACAGAACTCATTTTCAGAAATGGCAACTGAAGAAGACCAGAGTTGGTATTCGAATATCTGTAACCATGAAAAGTCTTACAAACTTGATGAGTGTACATCCAGAAGATGGTTCGTTTGTAAGGACCTGTTGCTGTTCTGTATGCTACGTATATGCCCATCTTGTACTGATCCCCATGAAAATGTCTTTTCGTGTGCTGTCAAACGTCATTATTTTGGAATTAGATAACGATACTGCCTGAAAGACAATGACCACCTTTGTCTGAGAAGGGGCAAAGAGAAACAATTTCCCCTCACATTTATTTATTCTCCTATGAAGAAAGGTTGAGGGAACTGGGCTTGTTTAGCTTGGAGAAGAGAAGGTTCTGGGGAGACCTCTTTGTGGCCTTCCGATAATTGAAGGGAGCATATAAACAGGAGGAGGAATGGCTGTTTATGAAAATGGATAGTGGTAGGACAAGAGAGAATAGTTTAAACTGAGACAGGGTAGCTTTAGGTTAGACATTATGAGGAAATTTTTCACACAAAGGGTGGTGATGCACTGGAACAGGCTGCCCAAGGAGGTTGTGGATGCCCCATCCCTGCAGACATTCAAGGCCAGGCTGGATGTGGCTCTGGGCAGCCTGGTCTGCTGGTTGGAAACCCTGCATATAGCAGGGGTGTTGAAACTAGATGGTCTTTGAGATCCTTTTCAACCCAGGCCATTCTATGATTCTGTGATTTATACATAAAGACAACACAAACAGAATGTTTTCACAGACCAGAAGAAACATCAGAAAAGAGACAGAAAAACATGGTGGAGGATAAGAGCTTCTTATTGCTGGCTCACAAGCTTTGAGGAAAGAGCGCACAAACCTGCTTATTCTCTTTTCTGCCTTGCCTCATGCTTATAAAACTTAATGAGATATTAAGAACTGAGTTACAACACTATTTACTTCTAGCTTATTCTGCAGTCTCTGAAATACATTAGAAAGGCTCAGACTGCCTATAGGATAATTTTACTGCACCTCTTGTTCATTTCATCCAGAGTAACTGCCGGCCTTCTCTCCATACAGACAAGAGAATTATAATGCTTATTGAAGCCTAGAGGCTCTTATCTTTCTAAATATTCCTCAATATATAATTTCCTATTTACTTGAATATGACTCTTTGGACTACTGTGAGGTTTTTTATTTCTTTCTTTGCAGATTGCAGACACAAGATGGTATGAGCAGTGAAGTGGACCTTCAGGACAGGAGTCTGTGCCACTGCAGGCTCTCCTCCATCATCTGGTTATCTCCACCATTCCATGAGCCAGAATTTTGGTGGCAACGTGGGCAGACAGAAGGAGGATCCACATGGCTGCCCATCCGCCATGTCAACTAGAAATGCCTGCACTGGATGTCCACTGTCAATGGGAGAGTCCTCAATGCCAAATGCCAGTATAAGAGGGGAGGCCTCACGCTGGCTGCAGCTCCTCACAGGGAATGGAAGGCAGCACAAAACTCTGCTGTCTGGGGACGCAAAGAGGGCCAGAGGATACTGCATGGAGCTGTGTCAGAGCAGAGTAAGAGGGAGTTAGGGAAAGGCTTTGCCCCAGAGGGTGGAGGGCATGGAACAGCTCTGCAGGGCAGTGGGTAATGCCATGAGCTGCCAGAGTTCAAGAAAGATGTGGACGTAGCTCTCAAATATAACATTTAGATTTGGAGTGGTTCTGTATGAAGACAGGAGTTGGACTCCATGACCCTTCTGAGTGTTTTCCAACTAAGGATATACTATTATCAGAAGTTCATTTCTGCTTAGAAATTTTATCTGCATTTGCAGCTAAAATTTTGGCTAAAGTAGAGGAGAGAGACTGCAACATGACAAAGAGACTGTGTGTGAGGCAGTTAGGAGAGCTCCTCTGTATTCTTTCCAGTGATAAGCAATATAACATGATAAATATAATTCCTGCTTTCTCTGGAGTTTTTTTCTGCTTACAAACTGATGAATATTGAAATTCAAATGTGGGTTTAATAGAGAAACTACTTTGTGGTTTGTTGCTGTAAGTATAATTTTTCAAATAAATAAAAAGTCAACTGTGTACTCTTTGAATTCATCGACTAATTGTTCTAGAAAAACATGACTGATATTGAAAAGTTCAGATAAGCTAGGAAGATCAAAGCAATTTGTCCCACGTGGGCCTGGGATCCAAGAGCCATCAAATCAACAGTGTGGTTGTACAAATGCAGTGCAGGCAGCTGACTAGCATCATAGAATATCCCAACCCATAAGGATCATCAAGTCTGTTGAGGTCCTCAAGTGAGGACATCTAAACTTCTGTTGCAATGTTCAAATCAAGATGAGCAGCAAGTCCATGCAGATGTGCATTAAAAAGAAACCTGGAGGCAAACATGGGAGTCAAGGCACCAGCAGACATGCTCTTCTAATTTTCATGCAAATCCCAAAAAAAAGAGACAGGATCTTAAAATCAGACCCTCATCCACTGCACACTTTGTCACAGCAACAGAGAAAAGCCCTAAAACTGCTTCAGAAAAACAGCTGGCATTTCCCATGGAACCCACTTTCACATGAAGGTGTTGTTACCTTGACCTTGTGATGAAGTTAAATTACTCTCAAAGAAGTTTATCCTTAGAGATTACAACATTTTTTTTAAGATCTTGTTATATTAAAGCATGTTCATTTCTAAGCCCTGTCTCATTTATAAGAAGCATGGCTGGGGTAGTTTAGTTACAGCAACCCAATGGATTATCAGAAGAGAAAGAGGAAAGAATAGGATCTGACCCTAAATCCTTACAAAAATGCAGGCTTTATGTCAATTTTACCTACCTCAGCTTTTATATGTCCACCCTGTCCACTCCTTGGCCTCATCAGCAGGTGGAAGATGGTCTATAACCTAGCAAGGCTAGCTGATCAGGAAAATGTGGTAAGAAGGTATCACAGGTATTGCTGCTCTCTTCACTGATCCTGACCCTAACTGCCGGCCCTGATAGTGTGTCCTTACCAAACTGAAGAGATTTCACAGGCAGTTCTTCCAGTTTCCATTCCTGGCTGGATGCAAAATGATAGCAAAGAAACTGTAATATTTGGAGGGGGGGGAAGAGGGCAGAAGGAAGCCACTTTTGAATCTTCTCACTCAGATCATTCAAGGAATGATGGATAGTGAAAACAGCACACAACAGAAGGACTGGGTACCAAGCAGAAAGCTGTTTTTAAAAAATCTGAAAGCTGCTAAATCTATTGGCTCAGTGGGAATAAAGCGCATTATCTTATGTGACATGCCGTATTACAAGAGCACTCTGACAGCCCGAATGCAAAAAGGATGAACAAGCCTAGCTGGACCCAGATCCTATGGTCTGTGCCTTGCACTATCAGTTGCCATGGTAACCACAGTCAGATGATGTTGCCGTGCATGGGACTAATATCTTCCATGGGAAGCTTGAAGCAAGCAGAAGAGATACGATTGCCACCTCTTATTCATGGAGAAAATGTACTCCACAAAAACTGATTTGCCATTGTGTGGGTGTTCCCACTAAAGCCAGTTAGATGTTTTTACACACGTCTCTTTGCCCAACAAAAAGTGGCCTGTTCTGTAATTGAAGAACCACATCAAATTATTTCCAGGCTTCTACCTGATATTGCTTTTAACATACCATATTTTCACTAATATTGAAAATACTGAAATCAAATGACAAAAGGCTTTTCTTCTGAAATGAATGCAATGAAAAATTACAACATTTTTGCTTTTCTTCCTCTTCTTTTTTCCTAGCTTCCTTTTGTTTGCTAGTCTGGAATTTCTGTAAAATGTCTTAGAACTGAAATGAATTCACACCAGCAAAACTAAGAAAAAAGCAAATAACAGCACTTTCTATATTTCTATCGCATTGGCACTTCAGAAGTTGGAGAATATTTTAAAAGACATGAAATGGAAAAAGACAAAAA